TCCCATGACACACTCTATGCCGTCTTCGCTTTATCATCTTCCTGGTTCTTCCTCAGCTGTTCCCTCGGTGGCAGCACGTCAGGCCCAAAGCTGAGCGGGAGCAGCTCGCCCATTGTCCTCACAATCCACTTTCCTTCCTTGTTGAACATAAAGATGGGCGTCTCTAGTGCCAGAAACTCGCGCAGGAATTGTCTGCACATTCCGCACGGCGAGCAGAAGTCGTCGATGTCGGTTGTAACGCCAACAGCCTTGAAGCTTCCGATGCGGTGGCCTGCGATAACGGCTGTACCCATGGCAACACGCTCAGCGCATGTTCCAACTGGGTAAGCCGCGTTTTCTACGTTTGCGCCGATTATAGTGTGCGCGGCGGATGTGTCGGTTGCGGAGGAGGTGGTCAGGAGGAGGGATGCGCCGACGCGGAAGAGGGAGTATGGGCCTGATCAAACATTCTGTTAGTACCAATCTCCAACCAAAATATCCTCAACACCCTCTACCATCATACGCTGCGTAGTAAAAGCCTGAAAAACATACAGTAAGCCCTCGCCCTAGCATCAAAGCATTGCTCGCCCAAAACCTGCAGCTCCTGCGCCGAAACGCCATGGATCAACCCATCCTTCTCGGTCACAGCTTCACCAGGGCTGAACTTTGGTACGGCGGTTGTTGACATGGTGGGGAAAGGAAAGGAAGGAAGAGAAGAGTGCGACGCGACGCGGGGATCATTTGGGGAAACTGGATGACGCCAGCCGAGGTTTGCCAGTGGGGCACTGAGCTATGGCGACAAAGGAAGGTTCGGCCACCTCCGATGCATTACGGAAGACACAAACATCATACAATGTGCTGACTGCTGTCCGATAACAGTTGTGCCAGTGTATGGGTACGAGTCTTGTGGTGCTGCTGATGATAGCAAACCTCGTGTTGCGCCACTATCCTGGCTGCAGTTGTCTCGAGCCCAGTGTTTTGGCTTTAGTAAGCGTCATTGGTTACCTAGCTAAAACTCTTAGGGCTTAGATCCATCGGTTAGCACTAGCGCGTAAAAAGTCGGTACGCATCCTACACGCCCGCGAGTTATTCTGCAGATTTGCCTACCTCTTACACTAGCATTGTAAGCTAATAGTATAATAGCAGACTAAACTCCGCACTCTATTAGTAATAAAGCTAGCTCGCAGCTACACAATTACAGCGGATTGCATAGCTAGCCTTCTATTTTAGATATTCTTACTCTACCTAATAATAAGCTGCGTTAAAATATTATAGAGAGTAATAAGATTAAGAGTAGATTTAGTCTACTACTATAGAGTAAACTTCTATATTTAGAATACATAACTCTTAAGTAATTATAGAATATAGTCTTTAGTCTTCTAGTTAAGTAACTTAGGCGTAGTAATATTATATTACTATTACTATAGGTAGAGTTCTTTAAGTAGACGCTTCTAATATTATAAGTTTTATAACGCAGAATTAAACGTAAACTAAACTAATTAATATTTTATAGACTTAATAATATAAAATTATAAGTCTTACTACTTTAAAATTCTTTTAAGATTACTAGTTAGAAACTTTATATATTACTTAACCTAATAACTATTAATTCTAAGATAGCTATAGACTCTAATACTACTATATTCTATATCTATACGTTTAAATTTATAATTAATAAGTTTTATATAGTTCTTAGCCTACTTATAAATATAAGTTATAATATAAATAATAAGCTCTTCTACTAGCTTAAACTAGTAGACTCTATTAAAGAAGCTAAACGCATATATATACGTTAGACTATTTACTATTATAGAATAACTAGTAGTTACGCCTAGTTACGCTATACCTAGAATATTAGCTACGCCTTAGATAAGTTAAATATATAGTTTAGCTATTTTCTTAAGGTTACTAAAAAGAAGTATCTAGAAATTATTAATAACGTCTAAGTAGACGTTATTATAGATATAATATTAGATTCTATATTATTAGCTATTTTATCTAACCTACGTAAGTAACTTTTTATTTTACTATTTAGTTTTAGCGTTATTAATATATAAGCTAGTAGTAGAGATATAATTTTACTTATAAATATAAGTAATAAAGATATATTCTTAATATTATAAATAAAGATATCTAGTCTTCTATAGCTACTTTAACTCTACTTAGAAGATATTAAGAAGTCTATTAAGATATATATTAATTACGCCTGTAAATACACTACTAAGAATCTAGTTTTAACTAAAGTAGATAAGTATAACTTTTCTAGTAAGCTCTAAAAGTATTTATAAGATTAAGCTACTCTAGCTATACTTTCTATTAGTTACGCTTTATTAATAACTATAGTATTAGATATTAGGTAGAATAACTATAAAGATAGTACTTTCTACTAGAGTAGACGTTAATCTACTAATATTATTAATTTATACTTTAACTATCTTGCGTACTAGAAAAAGCTAGCTAGTTCTACTTTTAAGTTAGAAACTATAAAAACTATATCTAAGTCTAGATATCTTTCTTTTATAGATCTATTTCTATAGTTTAAGAAAGATAAAGCTAATTATATAAAAGCTAGTAAACTCTTACTTAGATATCTTAGTATAACTAAACTACTTATTCTTCTTATATATAGTTAGCTACTCTTTTACTACACTCTTACGTTATTTAAGCCTCTTACTATTAAATTATTCTTTAAGACCTAGTAATTATTAAATATTAATTTAGATTTAAATTACTTTCTATAGCTCTTTAGATAACCTTATATTTATATAATTAGAGTAGATAGAGATAATAAAGTTATAGTTATATCTTACTATTACTCTAGTTATCTTACCTAAGTAGGTCTGCCTTTAGTTAAGGCTATAACTCTCTTCTTTTATATTTACTAGCTTATTTAGTTTAGCATAGATATAGCGCTTAACTTACTCTAGAATATATCTAGAAACTAGATCTATAAAGAGCTTTATAGTAAGATTATAGTTTTACTCTAGAAGGTACTTTCTATAGACTATAATTTTAGCTATACGTTTACTAGAGTTAAGTAGAAAACTATTAATGCTATAAAAGTATTTATATAAGAGAAAGCTATATATAGAAGAATTAAGAATATAAGCTAACTAAAGACTAAACTAACTTAATTCTTATCTCTAAAGAAGACTATCTATAAAGAGTAAAAGAGAAACTAAAAACTATAGATTATAACTATATTAACTTCTAGTAGCGCTACTATTAAAGGCTATAAGATCTATATTTATGCTATCTAACTAGCTAATACTATTACTTCTAGAAATAACTAAAACTAATATATTCTTAGCTAGAAAGAACTATTACTTAAGATATATAGTAAAGATTACTAGTAGATAATTAGTTCTCTTATACTTCTAGTAGAAGTTCTTAGTAATAGTTCTAAAAAGTGCCTTATATACTATACTAGAGATAGACTTAACGTTTAAAGCTTTAGTAGTAAATTTTAAAATAAAGTTAAGGCTCTTTATAGTAGTTAGTCTAGAACTTATATCTTACTAATTTTAGCTCTTGTAGTGTATACAAAGTTAGATAAAACTAAGAACTAAGAGTTTCTTAAGCACTAGAAGAATATTACTAGAGTTAATATTAATAAGTACCTAATAAACGCTGTTCTAACTAGCATATTAACTACTAATCTACTTACTAGATAATATCTAGCTAATTTCTTTAAGACTACTACTTATTTACTTCTAGTGCTAGTATTAAAGTCTCTATATAAGGCTTTTATAATTACCTATATTATACTTATTAAAAAAAACTACACTTCTATAAATTCTAGTAATATACTATAGTTATTTTTATAGTTTCTTTAAGAGATATATAATTCTATAGATAGAATCTCTTTTAATATAGCTAGCGCTTCTAAGAGTCTATCTTCTATCTATTAAATATTAGCTTAATTCTATTATGCGCTAACCTATTAAAATTATTCTTACCTAAGAACTCTTCTTATAGTTGCGCACTTACTAGAACTTAGAATTACTAAGAGAATATTAATATCTAATATTATAGTTATTACTCTTAGAACTCTAGTAGAAAGTACTAAGAAGATAACTACTATTACTCTAAAGACTATAAACAAGATAAGTAAGAATAGTTACGCTTCTTATAAGGTTAAGAACTTAAATAAGTTTTACAATAGCATTCTAGCGCCTTTTACACTACTAAAATTAGAGTATAACACTAAGATTATTAAGAAGAGCAAGAAGATAGATAATAAATCTAATGTAGGCTAAGAGCTTAGAAAGAGAAAGTATAATAGCAACTCTAATCTTAAAGACAATAATAATAATAATTACAACTTTAACAACACTTAAAGGCTAGAGAAGATAGCCTGTAGAGATTGTGTCTAAGGCGGTAATAATAAGGGACCTAACAATAAGATGCTCTTTAATCTTTAAGGAAGTTAGAAGTCTTAAGTTGTTCTTAGAAATAGTTGTGAGCTGTACGGCGATGATAGACATTGGCTAAGCTTAGAGGCAGGGTTCATACACTAGATAAAAGCAAGAATCATACCACTACACGCTGCGAAAGACCGACGTGAATCTCTAGTAAACTCTGCGTCAAGCGTCTTTGGACGCTTGCAAACCCAAGCATAGCTTGCGAGAGGCCCCGCGTTCGAGTCGCGGTAAGACCCATCTTTTTGCGCTTCTGGAGGCCCTGGCGGGGTCAGAGAGACCAGGATTGGCAGCAGAAACTATTTTTGCATTATTAGGTAGACTAATTAGATAGTTGGAGTGGTGGGTTGACAGATACACATGCTCCCGTCAAGCAAATCAACTCAGTTGTTCAATAACGTGGAAAGACTTAATATGTCTTGTGCGCAGCGATGTGATACTCTATCTCGTGACAGAGAGAATGCCTGCATTGCGGTTATAATCTAGTATTACGTCCATGTTACACTACTAGCATATCAATCTGAAAAACTTCGAACACGCATACACACACGTTGAAAGGCCATGACGAGGATAGCAGTGGCAAGGAATCTACTATATTATCTACGTTCCATTTGACTTCGCAGTGTCCCCCTTCTGATTCTGCGCAACCCCAAATGTAGCTCCACCCTCCTCCATAAACCTCCTCTCCTCCTCTGTACTGGTCCTACCCAAGGCAGCATTTCGATGCGGATACCTACCAAACCGCTCTATTGGATCCCTGTGTTCCTTTGCAGCTTTCTGGTAGTTCTCAATCAACATCTTCGTGCCATTGTACCCGTCCAACCCCTCGAGTTCTTGCGCGAACTCCGCTATTATTTCCTCGGCGAGATCATGGGCGAATAGGTCTTCGGAATGCATGAGGGGCATGTAGAACCAGGTCCTATGCGCGGCAGAGAAACGGAGCGCAGGGTGTTTGTCGGGGCGGCCAATGGGCGATGCGGGCGATAGAAGGTTGCGAACGAGCGCATCGCCCATGCGATCGTAATGCCCATACACGAGGCGCAGCCCTTCGTCTGTGCGGTAGATATTTCGCGGCATTTGGTCTAACAGGAGTGCGAAGCTGAGTGCTGTCCAAGCAGCGTCTTCTCCTGTTGCGCCATCTGCCTTGTTCTCTTCCTCCGCGACGCGCGCAATCTCGTCTAGGAAAGGTTGCGCATTCGCTTCTGGGAACTTTTCTGGGCCAATAGCTTCAAGGGCTTTGCCGCAGATATCTCTACATTGGCCGTCGAGGGCAAGTCGCTCTTCGGGACTGCCTGCGAACCAGCGCTTCGCGATGCTCATGTCAAACTCCTTGCCGCTTGTGTCGACGCCAGGGAACCATATGTCTGTTATCTTTCTGTATAGTGTCTTGTTGAAGATGGCAGGGTCGAGTGAGAAGGTAGAGGTGGACATCGTGCGCGGTAATGTGTGCGGGAGGTTCAGCGATTGGAGATTCGACGGGTGCAGACTCGACAGATACAGGCTGGATGTGAGGAAGCGCAAAGGCGTGCGAGCTGTGAGACGGGTAAGCATATCCTACGATGTCAGTTATGAGATTATACGCGCAAGGCTTTATACGTAGAGCTGAATGGACTCTATGACGCGCCTCGTGAGCTTGTTGCGCGCCTGAATCACGATTCTGGCTGCCTGAAGGAACGATGGATGGGCTCGGTGGCTACGAAGAGCCGACGGGGACGGCTGACTAAAGGACTGCCAAAATTCCGGATCCAGGGTCGCTCGGCTTCCGTCGTGCACTCTGATTACCTGAGACAATCTAATCATCCTGCGCATGTCATCGCAATGGAGGTAGTGTGCAGACAACGACAGCAGTACGCGACCTGTGCTTGGTGGTGAGGACGACGCGACGGATATCGGCCGAGCTTGCGTCGGCGCGCAATCTTGGAAGCACGCGCTACCAGATCTTCCCCAACACCAGAACTCGAAGTCTTGTACACGGACCGAATGCGTCCGAAGTTGGGGAAAAGTCCATGTACTAAACTTGCTCACCCAGCATGGCGCCAGGTCTACTCCGCATTCCCCCTCTTGTTCCACGCATGCAAAGGATAGCCAGCTAGGATTCATCCACCCGAACATGTGGGGAACCTGCATGATGGCACATCAGACACTCTACGCTTCGCGATACGTCGATATACCATGGGCATATCCGCGCATGTCCGGTCATTAAGATAGGCGGATGCTAGACGTACTACTCGCTCGTACTTCTGCTCAAGTCTCCTCTCACATGCTCCTTGAGCGGTACTCTTTCCAAGTAGCCCCACATGTACACCATCACTTTACTCCTGTTATCTGTTTTGGGCTTTATACTGTACACGCGATACAACAACAGACCACCAACTGGAACGAAAGTCGCACCAGGTCCTGCTGGCCTCCCGGTTCTTGGGAATGCACACCAATTAGGCCAGCAACCGCACCAGCAAATCACTGCGTGGGCTCGCGAGTATGGCGAGGTCTACAAAATCCGTCTGGGCTGGAACGACTGGTACATGATTTGTTCTCCCGAAGCATGCAAGGAGATTCTGGATAAACAATCTGCGCATACAAGCTCTCGAACGCAGTTGCCGGTATCTGGAGATGCACTTGGTGGTGGCATGCGATTCTTGTTTATGGAATATGGATCGGAATGGCGGAAGCTGAGAGGCATCAGTCATAAACTTTTGACACCAGCCGTCAGTGCGACGTTCAAGCCCAGTCAGGATTTTGAGGCGAAGATGTTGCTTGAAGAGATACTGAAGGGTGCAGATGCAGCAAAAGGGAATGGAGTTAGCTACAAGGCCATCCGAAGATACACTGTGAGCGTCATCATGACTAGCACGTATGGGCGACGCATTCCAGAATGGGTGAGTAGCGCATTTGAACACATGAGAATATCAATGCTGACATGTGGCAGGATTGCGACGAAGTGCACGGTATCTACGACATAATGAACGACTTCTCCACCATCGCGAAACCAGGGACGTACCTAGCAGACACGCTTCCGTTTCTCGGCAAGCTCCCCCCGCAACTACAATGGTGGCGTAAAGGCGTCAAACCTTACTTTGACAAACAAGCCAATTTGTGGATGTCTTTCTGGAGTACACTCAAGACTCAGATGGAGACCAAACAGGCCCCGGAATGCTTCGTCAAGCAATGTAAGTGATGTCGCTATGAGAACTTCATACGAGATATATTCTAACCCCTTACGCCTATAGTCATCGAGAGCGATTACGAGAAGCAAGGTATCAGTGAACTGCAGGCGGCGTTCCTAGCTGGTAGCATGATCGAAGCGGGCAGTGAGACAACATCCGCGGCACTGAACACTGCTATTCTCTACCTCAGCGCGAACCCGGACGTACGAAAGAGAGCAATCGACGAAATCAGAGGTGTCGTTCCACCCTCCCGGTCACCAACATTCGAAGACGAGCCAAGACTGCCCTATATCCGTGCCATCGTCAAAGAGACTCTACGCTTACGTCCTGTCACCAACATCGGTACGCCACATTACACAACTGCGCCAATAACATACAAAGGTATCCACATACCCGCCAAGTCAGTCGTATGTCTACAACAATACCCGATACACTACGATGCCAATGTATTCGAGGACCCTCATAGCTTCAAACCCGAGCGCTATCTCAACCACCCTCATGGAAGTGGACACTACGCGGCCGGCCCAGCTGCAAGCCGCGATCACTGGGCCTTTGGTGCGGGCCGTAGGATCTGCTCGGGCGTGCACCTGGCCGAGAATAGCATGTTCATCGTGCTAGCCAAGCTGTTATGGGCTTTCGACATCTTGCCGCCGATAGATCAACAGGGAAATGAAGTGCAGGTAGATACCAGCGATGAAGCGTTTGATGCTGTCGGAAGCACGACCATGGCGAAGCCGTACATGGTGAGATGGAAGGTGCGCAGTGAGGAGACTAAGGAGACGATCTCGAGAGAAGTGGCTGAAGCTAGGAGGGATGGATACGTGTTGAGGGGTGTGCGCGTTGGTGAAGAAGGTGTTAGGTTGTAGGCATGATCTGGCTGTCGCGTGCGCCTGTTATTACTTATCTCAACTTTGTTCAGACGTGCTTGCCCTATCCTTATTTCGTCATCGCGCTTGTTCGTTGCCCAGGTGTTTGTCGCGTCCACTTAGACCAGCGTTCTCCCGTCCTGCGCCTCGTTCCTACCTCGCCGTCCCTTCCATCTTTATCGCGACTACCACAACAAGATAGAATCTCACTCCACGTGTTTGTCATGTCGTCACCAAACAACAAGCCCCAAGGTCTTCCGCAGCCACCGCCGACCGTGATGCCTTCGACACCACCTCGACCAGCCTCATTAGGCGATAGCCAATCTTTGCAAGACGACGACAATATGAGCTCTAGCTCAACACCCACCAACTCACGAGGTTCCAACTTCTCTCCAGCCGATTGTCGCACCCTCCAAAAGATTCTCCATGACGTACGCAGCCCTTCACCTCTCTCCGCAACGTCATACTTTGACGAAACACCCGCAAGGAAGCTCAATCTCACTGCGACACCTACTGGTAGCCTCGCGGGAGAGCGGGTCGCCCAGAAGGAGAAGGTGTTCGATTCTGGCGATGAACGAGAGGGAGGCTACGAGGATGAAGATGACAGTATGGAACTGAGCGATGGCGAAGACGCTTTTGGTATAGACGGAAAGGAAGCCGGGGACACAATCGAGGATGTTATGAATCTTCCTGGTAAGACAGCACCACTTGTACCTGTCCAGGACTACAGCGGCTTCTATACCCACGATAAGTCCACGCCTGATGAGCCTAGCAAGCTGCAGCTTCGCCACTCTTCGATCGAAAAAGACTTGAAGGAGCAATGTCGACAGCAGGAATGCGCATCAGCGATTGCTGCAACAGACGGCGTCTTTGACACCGACGCGCTAAACCACGGTGTGTCAAGCCAGGCGTTAGCTATCGATGGGGGCAATGATCTCAAGAATCTCCAAGAAGATATTGGGATGCACCCAGTGGAAGACGAACAGGTGGCCACCGGTACGCTTGGTGTGAGTACCCACCATGGAGAGCTTGATCGATGTATACTAAATATGCAACAGTCCCTTGAAGCCTACAGCGACCAACCTCGAGCGCGCATCTCACCCCGCAACGTCCGCCGTGCGTCTGAAGATGCACTACCAGTGTCAACCTCGTTCATCGCCTTCCCTTCCCCTGCACGCGCCGTCGTGCAAACTCCCAACGGCATACACATCGACTTTGCGCCTTCAGCTACTACACCAGACACGCCTGTGACGAACACTCCTAGTTACTTTGATTGTCGCCAAGTCAAAGACAACACGCCGCACAAGAGCCGCCGCAGTGCCTCTTCGCCGACAGAAATTGTCGACCTAGCACGGGAGGCTAGAGTGGAAGAGGAGGAAGCGGCGGAGCAGAGGGAGCTGATGAATCTAGATCGATTTAGGGACATGGATCTTGCACCGATAGAGACTGTCATGGAGGGCGGACCAGCTGGCGACTTGATCGTGTGCGCAACTCCTGCGAAAACCAGTGACAAAGCCCTCTTTCCCCAAAGCGCATCTGATACCGCGGATTCCGAGATCGAAGAATGGATTGACCTGCAACGCCCACAGTCCAGATTGCCTTCACCACGTCGACCAAACTTGCTTGTCGAGCAGGACGAGGAGAATGATGCCGATGTTGAGGAATCAGATAGTACATCTGATCCCGATCAGCAGCAGCTCGCCGGTCTCCCACGATGCCCTACTTTCATCACTGTCATCAGCATGATACCAGCGGCTATCTTCTGGGCTACTGTTGCATCAATCGTTGACTGCAGTAGCAAAGCATTCGATATGCTCATTGAGAAGTTGACCGGACTGAAGGCGTAGATTAGGTTGGGGCAACCAGAGCTCAATCTGCGATGGTAGAAGTGCGAGTGATACGCTCGAGTATAGTATCCATGATTGTCTCTCGAGAGGATGGAAGCAATAGGAGAGAAGCGCGCGCTGCATGATTGGAATGAAGTATGATATATTAAGTAGATGGCCATGAGAAACACATTGCTTTTCGAGGCCTCGGATCCGCATCCTAACTCTGCCTGTCGCTGTGCAACACCGTTACTATGCGACTCAACGCCACCCAATGCAAATCGTATACACCTTCCTGGACCAACAAACCCTCCGTACTGTCCTATACCACGCTGTTGAAGCGTCCCTTATCAGCTCCAATCATAGTCAAAGACCATGAATAGTTCTTTTTTCGGTCATCTCCATCATCCTCTTCCCCACAGGCCTTGTAATTGAGTAATTGAAAGACACTGCTGAGAAGAGGACGCTAACCGTCACCGAGAATTCCTTTCGCCCTCTTCCCCGTCACCATCAACCTCGTCATCCCCATCGTCGTTGCCGCGGCCGTCGTAATCAGTTAGATCGTCGCTCATGATATGTAGTATCTGGCTGAATGTCCTGCTCTTCCATCGGCCCATGCCTTCCATGAGGTCTGAACAATGTAGCAAAGTACGGCGAGCAGCAAGATAGCCGCCTTCGAGTGCGATGCCCGTTATGCTGAAGCTGCCGCCGCGGTGTATGAAGTTGACGACTTGGGTAGCGTCTCCGAACCCTATGGGCGATTGTGGCGTATCGATGAAACCGAGTTGGCCGACAGAAATCCAGTCTACGAGGTCGAGGAGCTCGATGCAAGAGTCGCTCATGGGCCTATTATCTGTCGGTGGAAGAGCGAAGATATACAGGCCTAGAACGAGGGCGGCGTGGAAGAGTGCTACCACGCTGTGAGGGTTGACGATATCGCTCACTTTGCGGTCAAAGAGCAGCTTGTAGATGTGTGCGGCGTGCAATACACTTCGTCTCGCGCTTGGTGTTTGGCACCACATTGAAATGTCTTCCAGAGCGTTAACGGCAGGTTCGGGACCGGAACGTCCAGCTGCGAGTTCGAAATAGCGTATATTCGCTCCGAGGACCATGCAGGAAGCATGCCAAAGGACGGCGGAATTGAGATCCGCGGTGCGAAGTGCGTCAATTGAAGAGCCAGAAAGATTCACCAGCAAGGGAAGGATATCTCGACTCCGGGCATCTTCGGCGTATATCCGCCAAGGCTCAAGTTGCTTCTGATTTCCTGTCGCGGGAGCAAGCCTGTCATTGCTCTCGTAGATGCGCAGTAACAGGAGAGTCAGTAACGATCGGAAGCTTGATGCGTCGAGCTTGAGGCCTGGGGTCGGATGGAACGATGGTGTTATCCTCTGTGAGTGTATCCTCGCACCGCGCTGTACGAGATGGAACCACTTCGCCGCACTGTTGACATGATAGAGCGAGTAATCTGAGGGCGGCAGAATCTGGACTGTCTCGGGGCGGATCATTGGAGCTGTGGAGAGGTAGCCTGCCCACCAGCAGTCTGCTTCGATAAGACCAAAGATGATGCGTTTGCTGCATTCGACCTTTGACCAAGCCTTCCACTTTGAGTCAATATCGATCATCTCATCCAAGAGAGGATCTATCTTCACGCCCTCGTTGGCAGAGAAAAGACCTTGGCTCTGCGCAAACTACGAATGTCAGTCTGATGTACGAAAGCGTAGTACAAGCGGCTACATACCCCGATAAGCTCTGCATACATCTTCTCGGCTTGCGCAATACGGCTTTTCCGCTGCGTGAACGTTAGCTCATGACTTGCATGATCGATGATTACCACCTACTCCGGTGATAGACGCTAGATTCAAGGCTAGCAAGCTAGTGGCAATGATCCGCATCTGCCGATGTGGCGGATGATCTGTTGTTGGAAGGGTCTGTAGCTCGGCCAACGCGAGTTGTAACACAGCCTTATCAAGGGTCAGTATATGTGAGATGTACAGCTATCGTATTGCTTACCGGGAATGTGCGAGTGACAAACTTGGCTGCACCTGCGGTACCAAGAATGCTCAGGCCGATGAGACACATGCAAAGAAGTAATGGCCGTGGCGCATTCTTTGCAGAGAACGTCGGAATGTGAATAATCGGAAGGGTTGGATGGAAGTAGTACAGATACATCTCTAGAGCGATGTCCAAGATCTCGGCGGGAGGAAATTGTACACCTTCGATGCTCGGACTTCCTGCGGCATCCCCGCTCGAAGATGCAGTGTCGCCATATGATTCAGATCTTGGTGGGTTAGATGCCGGTAAGTTGTGCAAGGCGCTTTGAAGCCTGCCTCTGCACTCCTCGTCTAATCCCCATCGCGAGTTCCGCCGCTCCCTTTCACTCATGGGCGTTTCCATAGCTCCAGAGCCGACCTCCGACAGTATGTTGGTACATTCACACGCTACAAGGTTCTGCCACAGATCGGGCATAAGCCGGGAGGACTTGCGATTCCGGGAGGGCCAACAACTTTGGACTCGCTGGAATCGTTCTCGCGGCACTCTGCTTGCTATTGAAACACTGCTGCCCGATGGACTGGCCTGGTTTTCTGGAAGTGCTTGGAATGCTCCGTGCTCGAAAAAGCCTTCCACGCCTAGGTGATGCGATCCTTGGGGAGTGTTCATGTCGCCCTCGAGCGGAAACAGCCACGTTTGTAACGCGTCCGCAGGAGTGCGATTGGGGACTGGGTTGTTGCTTTGAACAAGTTCGAAAGCCCACTGGTCCAAACTTGAGACATGGCCGGCTGGCGAGAACGAGAGCGCTTCCATAGCTGGGTCGATAGGTGGACCCATACTCTCATGGGGATTTCGATTTGACATCTGGACATTCTCGGCACGAGCAATAATCATAGGCGATGGTGACCGCCAGGGTGTGTCTGCTCCAGGCTCCAGATGTTGGGCCGCGTTGATCAGCGCTTCGATCCGGTCCTCACCGGGTGACGGCGGTTGTAACCGCGATGAAGAATGACGGCCATCCGTGGGAGGTGATAGATGCGCATTGTAGTGGTTATTCACATTGATCTGCGGTATTTGCGACTCTCTCCTCCTGGACATGGGCGAGAAGTTGGAGTCTTCGCGGATCAATGGTGTTCCTGCTGGAGTCGGGCCGTTTACGTTCCGTGAGGCAGATGGTCGTGATGTCTGATTCTCGTCCATGGAGTTGTGTCGGAACTCTTGCTGGTCGTTGGTGTTTTGTTGTTCATTGCTCTTCATCCGGTTCATCGCATTCTGCGCATGGCCTTTGCAGTGCCGAAACAGGACATCGCTATATGAAGAGGTTGGACGCTAGTACGGAGGTTTTTCATTGGGGGCCTCACCTGCGCGAGAAGTGCTTTTTGCATGTCGGGCACTCATAGGGGCGCTCTCGTGTGTCTGAGATGGTGTTTAGCTCACTGCTGATGATGGAGGTTTGAGATGGACGAACGGGACCGCTCGTGCCGCTTCACGTGCTCTACTGGAATCGGGGTCAGTACACTTTCTACACGCGTTCGGCAGCCACGTACACTTGGTGAATGTGCGATCGCACATGCTGCACTGCTTTAACGCCATGTCGCTCGTCGCAAAGATTTGATGTGTTGGCTGATGATCGGAGGACCCTTCGCAGGCCGGAGTCTGCAGGTGCTGTCGGTCGCCAAGCGATCGCGGCTGCGGGGGAAAGCAAGACCATGACTCGGCCTAAGCATTATAGGCTCATCTCAACTCATCTACAAAATGCATATAAACCTGCAATCCTGCTGCTGCAGATTGCGCCGCGCGCACATCTGCGCATCCGAAGACTACAGCTGATCCTTACGTTGGTGGTCCATAGTCGCCGCTTGGAGATACCTCCGGCGCTCGGGACCCTCATCTGATCGCCAAACACCGTACCAGCTCCTAGCACCACCGATCGCTCCGTGCCTCACCACGGCCGTTGGATGATGAGGTAAATGCTCCTTTGAATCGCCCTCAAATTACCAGACTTCTCGAAGGATTTCGTCCTACACCAACCCCGGATCGACTCGCATGTGGGACTATGAGGCGTACGCTAGTGGGGCCTCCCCTGACTGCTGACCGTTGTTGGAATCATCCACTGTCTCATTCGCCTCATTAAGGTGGCTAGTTCTGCTTGATCTGGTGCGTATAATCAATCAATTGCTACTTTGGATATCGGCTAGCTGCGTTTCGTTGCGTCAATCTTCCGCTAGAGGGTCGCACATCAGACAATGGCGTCTCAGATAAGTAATCAACTAATCGACACTGAATCGCTACAAGCACAGCGCCAGGTACTAGCAAGTTTGTGACATGTCTTTGCCTAGCTCGACGAGATTGTGAGGCTGTATAGTATTGGATGTTTGGTCAATACGCAGGGGCATGCAGTTGGCCATGGTTAGATACTCTCTGCCTTCGGCGGTGTATTGAAAACTCCGATATCAGTATTAAAAATAGGCAAGCGAAGCACATCATCTTGAGCAGAGCGGAAAGTCGGAGATCACTCGCACCGATACTTCCAATTTTCAGAACACGAGGATGTCTATGCCACCTTGGCGAACATGTCCAACACTGCGGAATACACCACCAACAATACGCCACCACCAGGTCCAAACCTTAAGATCTTCGCCACATAGCCCTTGTACAACGCTCTGAACCCTTCTTCCCTCGCAACAACCCCCAAGCTCGGCCACGCCCAAGCGTACTTTTGTCTTACACCAGGCGTCTTGGCAACGCTCTGTATACGACTCTTGACAACATCTAGTGGTGTGTTGAACGTCGTCCCGACAACACCGCCTACGAACCCTGCTATGAGGTCGTTCCCCATCTTCTGCCTTCTTGGATTGCTCGAGGTTGCCGGGGCAGGCAGCTGAGCCCGTACCTGGAAGATGCAGCCAAAGTACCCGGCATTCCATACGATATGTCGCCATAACGTGGCCTCAAAGCCGTTGTACAACGCCAATGGACCTTCTTGGCGGACTACCTTGACAAGACAGTCGAGCAGCCCATTGTAGCGTGACGCGGATGTCTTGTCTTGAAGTCGGATCTTGAGGAGCTCGAAGGGAACGACAACAAGAGACTCGGTTGCGCCAGCGCTGGCACCGGTGAGGATGGCGAGAGGTTGGGTCAGGCTTGGGGCTGAGAAGAGGCGTTGATAGAACTGCGTGAAGGAATCATTTGCGGAGAACTTGATAGCACTGTTTTCAATCAGTCGCAATCGACAAAGACATAAATTCGGGTCGTACCGCTTGGGAACCTCCATCAGTATAGGCGCAGTGATGCCACGATATAGTCTTGATGCACCTTCATTGCGAATGATCTTTCGGAAGCAGTCCAGAACGCCATTGTACCCTTCACCATCCATAACTTTGCCATGCTGAAGTTGAATTCGTGTTTTCACTACATCAAGCGGGTACCTATCTACATTCTTAGCACTGTCTTCGGACCTCCGATACCAAGACAATCTCACATTACCAAAATCTCCGATATCCCAGCTACGGCCCCAGCAGCAAACTGATAGCGGAAAGGCAGTGGTGCTGCATCGTTGCCATTGCCAACGGTAACGTTCTTCGTCGCCATGTTGAAAACACGTACTCTCTACTTTCACGCGTTCAGCATGCCGTTACCAACCATGCAGCGCTTCCACCACACTACCAGTACGCCTCCCATCCCCACTACCTCCATCATTCCACATGAACGGCTCTTGCAATATCCAGGCCACATGGCACATGCAGGGCACAATACACCCGCGATATAGCCAAGAGCGTGTCGCGTGAAGGACGTTATAGGGCCCTTAATGTATTAATGTAATTCTAGTTTTATTTGCTAAGGCGCTAGTCTAAAAGTAGATTTTTTTCTCCTATAACGCTACTTATGCGAATAGTAAATATTATAAAGCTATAAAATTAACTTATAACGCTTCTTTTCTACCTTTACCTTTACTAAAATTACTTACTATAGTAATTAATTACTATATTTACTAACGCTAGCTACTACTTAATTTTTTCTACTATTCTAAAGAAGCGCTACTTAGTATATATTAGCTATAGCTATACTAAAAATAGCTTTTAAAGTAGCGCCTTAAGCTTTATAAGCTTATTAGTATAAAACTTAGAAAAGCTAAAGACTAAAATATTAGCAACTTTATACTATTACTTAAGTAAATTATATACTATTATTAAGCTTCTTAAATAAGAAGATAGCTACCTTTATCTTAAGTACGCGTTTTATTTACTTTTTTTCTCTATAGTATAAATTATAAGGTTTCTTAAAAAATAAAGCTATATAATAAATAATCTTATATTTAAGAAGTAGAAGAAGAACTAAAAAAGTAAAATAAGCTACTTAAGTATTAGTAATAATAAAAGAATAGTAGTTAAAGTAGTTAAAGAAGATTATTATACTTATAATTATAATAAAGAGGTAGAAAAAGTAATAGTAGAAAAGCTCTTATATATAAGCTAGTTAGGCTTTATATTTAGTTTTATAAAATAAGCTATCTCTACTTTATAAGCTATTATAAAACTTATTATAATAACTTATTACGTATTTATTATAAAGTTATCTTTTACTACTATAAGTATATATAAAGATAACTACTTTAGATAAACAGCTTAGTAAACTACTATTACTAAATATCTTCTTTTTTAATGTATATAACTAAAGTACTCTTATAAAAAGACTTCTTAGGCTTAAGCGCGAAAGACAGAGAAGGACGTTGTGGGGTGCATACTGATGGCGCATGTGGGGCCAGGCGTTCCGGTGAGATGTGGGGCCTACGCGAAACGTCACTTCGCTGACAATCGACACGCGGCTCAGGAAATTTCGGTGGCTGACTCTCGGACAGTTGCGTCCCAATGCGTCGGAAGAATCGGACCTCGGAGATGAGGTGTCTGAATCATGTGAGGACGTGTGTGCTCGCGCTTGGTACCCTAGTTGTTTGTTTTCGGACGCGTCTTCGCAATGGGGATTTGGAATACTGGGTACGCGACTACCTACGCCACCGTCTACGCGACTACCTTCTTCTCTCTCAGCTCTCTGATCCCAGCTTCGTCGTACCCCAGTACGTCCCTCAATATCTCATCCGTATGCTGACCCAACAATGGCGGCGGGCTCCTGATCCGCGGCTCTGCTCTCGAATATTTGACCGGATGATTGACAAGCTTCACCTTGCCTACAGCAGGGTGCTCAACCTCTTCGATCATATTGCGCGCAAGAACGTGCTCGTGCTCGACCGTGCCCTTGATGTCGTTGACAGCCGCGTATGGCATGCCGCTTCCCTCGAAGATTTCCAACCATTCCTGCGTTGTCTTGGTCATAAGCTCGGCCTCTACGAGCGTGTCGATCTCGGTACGGTGCTTGACGCGGAGCGCGTTGGTGAGGAAGCGGGGATCGGTTTTCCATTCTGGACGCTGTAGCTTGTCGCAGAGGATGCCGTATAGGCGGTCGTTGCAGCCGCCGACTGCTATGTTGGTGTCTTTCGTCTTGTAGGCTCGGTAGGGTACTACTGTTGCTGTGGTGGCGTCAGCATCATCATTCTGACACATGGCTCATGTATGCGCTTACCATGTGCAGTTCCCCATCGTCCGCTATCGCCCTTCCCTGTCACCAGCGCACTGCTGGCGATGTTCGCTAATCCCGAGACCTGCACGTCGCTCAAACTCGCGTCGATCCACTGACCTAAGCCGGTCTCTTTCCGCGAATACAACGCTGCTTGTATGCCGATCGCAGTGTACATCCCGGTCATGATGTCCGTCACCGCTACGCCGACCTTGACTGGGGGCCCGTCGCGCTCGCCAGTGATGTGCATTAAGCCCATCTCAGCCTCGACCATAACATCGTAGCCCGCGCGGTCGCGGTATGGCCCAGTTTGCCCATAGCCGGTGACAGACGCGTATATCAGGGAGGGATTGAGCTTCGCAAGCGTCGCGTAGTCGAGCTGGTACTTTGCGAGTGATCCGGGGAGGTAGTTTTCGACGAGGACATCGCATTCTTGGGCTAGTCTATGGAGGATGGAGATACCGGTGGGGTTGTTGAAAGCGAGTCCGACAGACTTCTTGTTGCGATTCACCTGCATCATGTTAGCAGTATGAACGACATATTCGTGCGGCAAGTCCTACAGAAAGATAATATGCGCTTTCGCCAGGGAATTGGCGTTCGATACCATCGGTATAGGGCGCATCTGGTGGACCCCAGGACCTCGTGTCGTCGCCTCTTGTAGGGTGCTCGATCTTGATAACGTCCGCTCTGAACGCTCATCAGCATATGTGATACATAAGTATACAGTTATTGCATACCCCAGATCTCCAAGAATCTGTGTACAGTATGGCTACATGATGTTAGCGACCATGAGCCTCCGGCGAGGAAACATCTACGTACTCCTGCAAGTACCCGCGTCATATCCAATACTTTGATGCCAGCCAAAGGTAGTTTCTCAACCATCTGCTTGTCTACGTCGCTCTTGGTTGCAATGTTCCTCCTCCATGTTTGCGACATTCGACTCGCGATCCGATTAGCCGCATGTCCAAAGTGCACGCGTTGAGCCGCTTTCGCGACAGCTCCAAAAGAATACGACATGGTCTTACTCCAGACCTGCGATGCCAACACACAGTCATGTTAAAGGACGCGAGCATAACTTCTTGAAATTCCTGCCCCACATGACGCTTGTGGGGTCGGCAAAGGGTATGGAGTGTGAATGCACAGACGTTTCTAGTTCGCTATGCCAAAGCTTGCGATGCTCATTGTATGGAATTGGGATTATCGTGTACATGTAATTACAAGAAATGCAAAACTACATCGCTGAAACGCCAACAGCAATCAAGACCGTGAACCCAAAGAAGCTATCATGCATGAACGCCGTTCGTCCCGTTGGTCTTTGACTCAGGGCTCAAGTATTGCTTGAGCTCCTCCGCGTGAACACCATCCGTATCACTGGTGTTTGCGCCATGTGAGAAGCCACCAAAGTAATATGGTGCAAGTCTCTTCTTCTCAGCGATCTTGTCGTCTTTGATCCGGGCAAGCAACTCCTGGGCTCTCTTGTTGGCGGAGAAACGGTCTGGAAGAGCATCCCAGACCTTGTAATCGGTACCGTGGGTCTCGATTGTTCCGCAGCCTTTGCGAGCGTACTCGGTAAAGAGGAATAGACGGCTCGATTCGACCATGATGGTCAATTGTTCTGAGAGGCTGTTAGTACGTATTCGACCACTCGGCGATGCGGTTAGCTTACCAGTCAGTATCTTCTCGGGCTGGCTCTCGTGTATCCGCATGCCGTGCTGATATCCCTCATGGAATCCACCGTGAGGCGTGTGGCCACCCTCGAAACTACCACCGCCGGGCTGGAAGTCGTCGCTTCGTCCAAGACCTTGTCCGTATAAACAGGCAAGGAACTCTGACGCGGAATTGCGGTGGAAGTATGGTAACCGGAATGTATTGGTCGCAACATCCCATCTCGGGCCGAACCAGAGGAAGTCTGCGAGTGGTGTCATGGGATCGCGTGACTTAGCTGTGAGCACTGTGAAGATCGAAGGATCAGTGTGGTCGATAGATGTGCTGTTCTGTGACGAGAACTTCGTCAGATCGTATTTGTACGGTACGACATTGCCGTGCCATGCGACAAGGTCGAAGGGGCTGTGGTCTTGTTGGATCGCGACGAGCTGACCGTTCGTCTTGTTGACAATCTGCCAATCGACGTGCAGATCATCATCGATAGCAGCTACCGGGTAGAGAAAATCGCGAGGATTGGCAAGACCGTGGCCGCCTAGTGGGCCGAGATCAGGAAGCTCCCACATAGAGCCCCATACTTCTGTGATGTAGCCACGCGCCACTGGCGTACCCGGTGCTAGATTGAGGCAGAAGCGGATGCCGCGCTGGATGACACAGATCTCACCGGGCTGTAGGAAAATCTTGCCCATCTCTGTCTTGATATCTAGATTACCCTGTTGGGCACAGATGAGGAAGTCACCGTCGGTATTGCAGAACGCTCGCTGCTCCATACTAGAGTTAATCATATACACGTATAGCGCAAGACCCTCCTTGATGTTTGGGTCTCCGCTACCGCAGAGAGTATGCAGGCCATCCGCGAAGTCAATCTTCTCGTCGTCTTTTGGCAGTGGGAACGGACGCCATTCTGCTTGCTCGGGAAGCGTGTCGACCTTGGGATTGATGGACAAGAAGCAGTTTGTGATGTTGGACTTTGTCTCGATAGGAACGTAACCCTCTGTCACACGTTAGCCAATGTCTGCGAGAACTTGCCGCAATACGTACTGTGAGCAGCCGCTGGTCGACACCGGTACATATAAGTGCTGAAGTTGTGTGCACGTGGAGCTGCGAACGCTGAATACGTAATGCCTTCAGTGTAAAGTCCAAACCGGACTTCTTGGGGGTTGTTCTGAGCGACAGGTAGAGTGCCAGGAATGACCTCAGACTGATGTCGGTTTCCCCATCCTGCTTGGTAGTCGTAAGGATCGTTTGCACGCGTTGGCTTCAGTCTTTGGAGATCGGTGAAGTGAAATGCCTTTTGGGGGTCGGTAACGAGCTGGCGTTCTTTGAAGTCTTGCATGGTGTCTAGCGTATGACGATGATTGTAGGAGTGATCTAGCTTACCATGTAAAGATTTCAGCCTTATATTGGAGTATCCATGGCCGTGGAATGCTAGGCCGACATCTGCCGCACTTGGGTGGTCCGGCCTGCGCATCGTATGTGGTGGCGGGGCCCGACCCTGATAATAGCGGGGTTTCCGTTTCGGTAACTGGGCTACGGGAGCTGTGAGAGGCCCACATAGTGGCCGCGACCGGGTTAGTGGAACTCGTCAGATGAAAGTATGATAGCCTTTCCCACATGGAGGTCATGGTAATGTGGACGTGGCGCACTTGCGGGGTTCTTCATTGCTTCTGAGAAGAGCACCAATCGAGAATATAGTGCTGACTCAGATGAACCAGTCAGAATGTGGTTCTCCCTCATATCTACGCATGGCGATTGTTGTTCCCTGATGAATGACATGGATGTGATCTATTTGGATGCAGCTAAGACCTCGTCCACCATGAGTCCACATGAGCCTAGATAGTTCTTTGCATCGCACAATGAGCTCAGCTCTTCGCCGGAGATCTTATCGGTAATCTCGGGTCGTGTCTGTAGAGCTTCCAACAAGCTGGTGTCGTTCTCAATGCTTTCTTTGCATGCCTCGTAGACAACGTCGTGAGCTTTTGACCGACCGACGTGCGGAGCAAGACCCATCATGACAGCTTCTGCGACAATAAGACCTCTAGTGGAGTATAGGTTCGTGAGCATCTGCTTCGAATTGACTACCAGACCAGAGAGCGCAAAGTCAGCTTGGTACAGCGCTCCGACAGCCATAACGAAGCTCTCCGGGACGGCCACCCATTCGAGATGCCATGGACCGGAAGCACGCTCGAAGTCCGATACCATGCCATCCAGCACCAAGCCAGCATTCGATCGCAGGACCTTCGATGCGGCTAAGATGACCTCGCTCGAGATGGGATTTCGCTTCTGAGGCATAGTTGAGGAAGCACCGCGGTGTGGTACAAAGGGCTCTGACACTTCCGAGAGCTCATTGGAAGACATGATGATAATGTCTAGGGCAAGCTTGCCGAGGGTACCACCAACAAGGGCGAGATAGTTGGTGATCTCTGCAACACCATCTCGGGCGACGTGCCAGGTGATCGGAGGATCTGTCAGACCCAGGTCTCTTGCCATTTCCTTTCGAACACGAATGCCATCATCGCCCGAACCTAGTGAAGCCAAAGAACCTGCGGCGCCTCCGAACTGTACCATCAAGGCGCGAGGTTTGAGCTGCTCAAGACGCTCGAGATGTCGTTGAAACCCAGATAGCCAAATAGCGCACTTGTGGCCAAAAGTGATAGGAAGAGCATGTTGAAGATGGGTGCGACCAGCCATGGGCGTATCCCGGTGCTTTCTTGACAGGTCTTCGAGGTTTTTGATGACGGAGCGGAGTGTGCGCTCAACGATCTCGAGGCCCTCCTTCATCTGCAGAATGCTTGCCAGATCCATAATGTCCTGTGTTGTTGCTCCCCAATGCACGTATCGCCCAGCCTCCTCACCGCACGATGCAGAGAGCTGTCGCACCAAAGGAAAGATGGGGTAGCCGACGATTTCAGTTTCGTTGCGTAGCCTATCGTAGTCCAGTTCGACTTCGCGAGCTTTGGCCGTCACAATCTCTCCGATATGAGATGGTATGACATTGCATTTTGATTGTGCTCTTGCCAAAGCAGTCTCAGCATCAACGCATCGATTGATATACGCTTTGTCGTCGAAGACCTTTCTGATCTCATCGGTTCCAAACAGCGTACGGAAGATTACTGAGTCGATAGCGCTCACGCTGCCGAGAGATCGCCGTTGGAGACGAAGGGTGGTTTGCCGGGGGATGGCACGCAGTGGGACGCGTCGAAACAGGAACATGATGTGTGTTGCAGTGGGTGCAGCACCTCAATGAGTTACGAAGGGGAGGTGAAGCCCCAAAAGGAGCTCCAGCACTATGCAAGACATAGTGGCCTTGAAGCGGTGGACGTGTGGGACGCGGGTGCAGCCAGCATCCATGGATCGTGTGGGGAAGACAATGCCGGCCTCCAAGCTCGGAAGCGGCCAGCCTCTGCACTCCACGCTAGCGATTGGAAGTGGCTAGACTCTTTGTACACGTGACGCACGCGACACTTTCGTGATTTGCATCATCAATGCTTAAAACATTTCTACGGAACTACGACTCTCGAACGAACAACGAAGCAACACCTAAGCCGGTACTCGCGCACATGCTGACAATACCCATCTCCTTGTCCTGGCGTAGCAGCTCGCCGAACAATGTGGCAGTCTGCCGTGCCCCGGTCGCGCCGGTGGGATGCCCAAGAGCTATCGCACCGCCATTCGGATTGACCTTGTCCTCATCGAGACCCAGCTCCCGAATGCACGCAATGGTCTGGCTTGCGAACGCCTCGTTGAGCTCAATGATGTCAACGTCTTTTAGCCCAACGCCTGTCCACTTCAGCAATGCTGGTATGGCGTATATCGGGCTAATGCCCATCTCGTCGGGGGCGCAACCCTTGACCTGGGTGCCAACGAAGCGGCCAAGTGGCTTCAATCCACGTTCTTCAGCCCACGAACGTCGGGCGAGTATGGTAGAGGATGCGCCATCCGATATTTGGGATCTGAAAGGTCAGCTTTGCGAGGACTTTGAGTCATGTCTACTTACGAGTTGCCTGCGGTACTCTTGCCGCTCTCGCCGAACACAGGCTTGAGCGTCGACACTTTCTCAAAGGTCAACCCATGCCGAATGCCGTCGTCCTTGTTGACTTCGTGCCCTGCAGGCTGGCCTGTTGCCTCGTCCATCCTCTGAACCGTTACGGGCTCGATCTCCCAATCAAAGCGACCTTCCTTTTGGGCGCGACTTGCGCGCCCATGACTTCGCACCGCATATTCATCTTGCGACTTCCTGTCAACCTTGTATCTTTCCGCTACGTTCTCAGACGTGATTCCCATAGGCATAAGACAGTCGCGCGCATCTTTGACGGTCGACCCAAGCAGCGTGGGTGAGACATCGGCTGGGATGCCCCGCGAGCTGTAGTTTCTCGACATGCTCTCTACACCGCCAGCCAGCCCCACGTCAATCTGACCCACCATGATCGAGTGTGAGATGTGTGTGATGGCTTGTAGACTGCTCGAGCATTGCCGATTGACTGTATGGAAGGTCGTGGAGTTTGAAAAGCCGGCATGATTCAGCGCCATACGTCCTGTCTTCGCGAAGCCCAGTTCGGCGAGTACATTCCCAATCATAACATCGTTCACGTCGACTTTTTCGATGCCAGCTCGCTGTACTGCAGCTTTCATAATCTGTTGTATTCAGCAACAGTGCAGCGCGTTCTCCTGCCGAGACTCACCGGCATCAGGATGTCTTCTGGATGAGCATCTTTGTAACCGCCCTTGAAACTACGATTGATTGGCGACCTGACCGCAGAAAGTAAAACTACATCGTTGGGGCTTTTCTGCAGCACATTGCGCGTGGCTTTGCTAAAGGACGCCATTTTGGCACAACAACTGATAATCTACGCGTCGCATTGGTCCAGGAATGCCTATTGTATGATCTCACAGGGCCGAGAAAGTGCCGCATCGTGGTTGCGGCGAGAGCTGTGGCGGGGCGACGTGTATGTGTGGGGCAGGAGCGAGAGACCCCTCCATGCCGACTCGGGCAACAACGCAATGATGCTTGCCGAATCTAGCTTGCATGCGGACGCGACCATTGACTTTGAACATTTTCACGCGCAAACTGATCTCAACAAGACATTACACGATGGCGCTCCCGAACAAGTACCAGAATGGCAGCATTGACTCCTCTACCAAGGGAGTGTACAGGGCATCGCCCGTCAAGCTCATGATATACGGAAATGGTACGCAGACTGCGGTTGCGAATCGAAAAGAAAACTTACATGTTCGCACAGGAACGAGCAGCCAGCTTTCAGATGTCATTGCCGAGCTCGGTGCTACAAAGGCCTTCATCATCACCGGACGATCTTTATACGAGAAGACTCCCGTGATCAAGAACATTGAGAAGACACTTGGTTCTGCGCATGGTGGTACATTCAGCAAGATCGGACAACACGCGTATGTGGAGAGCTGTTGAAGTATGACAAGCGCAGGCTGACAAGTCCAAGACCGATTCAAGATATCAAAGAAGCCACCGCGCTGATGACAAAGTCCGGATGCGATGTACTCATATCGATAGGCGGTGGCTCACCCATTGACTCAGCCAAAGCCATTGCATACAATATCCACGAGGAGACCGGAAAGTGGATTCCTAGTATCGCCGTACCAACAACACTGAGTGTAGCTGAGACGACGCAAAACGCTGGCTTCACCACCGAAGAAAAGCACAAGATCGCCGTGAGCAACCCAGAACTTGTACCCAAGGGTAAGCACGATGTCGGATGGTCGGAGAGACTCAGGCTAATCAAATTCAGCTGTGGTATACGATGGTGAACTTGCTGTATACACACCCTTGAACCTCTGGACAAGCACAGGAGTAAGTTCATCATCTCCCCAGGCGATGAAGTCTCTGACACACTGGCAGATTCGATCACTGGACCACGCAGTGGAGCTGATGTACCACCCTCTCGCTGCTGAGATCCCGACAAAACGCATGTCTTTGGAAGCTATCAAGGATCTCTTCACATACCTACCACAATCGAAGGCCAACCCCAATGACGCCGAAGTGCGAACCAAGCTTTTCGTTGCTTGTTACTCGTCACTCTTCCCCTTCCTGTACACTGGCGGAGTCGGCCTCAGTCACAGCATCGGCCATGCGATTGGTGCAACATACAGCATTCCGCATGGTATCACCAGCTGCCTCAGTCTCGCACCGACGGTACACTTCAAGGCGAGCAACCCAGAGGAAGCGAAGCAAATCGCTAGGATCATCCCATACATCGGGAAGCAAAGTACTGGCAGCGACGAGAAGGATTCCCACGTCGTTGCTGACGCCATTGCTGGACTGGTCGAAGAACTGGGACACAAGACCACATTGACAGCTGTAAGTAGCTGAAGCATGCCGAGGAGGCCATTGCTAACGTCCAATAGTACAATGTGCCGACTGGTGATGCGGAAGAAGAGGCTATCGCATCGCGTGCGCTACACAGCAAAGACCACAAGGACTTCGCTAGCTGTACGTTATCGCGCCCGTCCTCCGAAAATCCTCTAGCTAACATACGCTGCAGTGAAGCAAATCGTGCACGATCTATACTAATCGACTCGATGAGTTTGTCATGTAGCGTCCATAGTAATACATATCTACCAACTCTTCAATACAGACATCCCAAATGTGCCCGCAGCCCGTCAATGACCACCAGCCTTACTTACACTCGTTGGCGCGTCAGCACGTGAGCCAGCCATCGTGGCTCGGCCTTGGAAATGTTTTCCACGTTGCCTTTTTCCGCGTGCCGGTTGGCCCAATGAACGTGCGTTTTGGCCGCAACCTCCGCATCTTGGCCGGCTAAGTCCTCATCCACCTCCGATTGTGGAGCTTTGCTCTTACCCGCCATCGGCACGGCATTTGCATCGGTCTGACCCAATCGGTTATTTGCTGTCATGCATGCCCTCGTGGTGCTCGTGTGGGGAGCGTCATCTCCGCTGTTCACCACAATTCTACACCAGATCTTTGTGCACTGAGGTTTGTGGAGAGTCTGACGCTTCGATCTGGTGTCGATTGAGCTGAGCTTACACTCTGGGAATCGGACAACGTCATTAACGACCTTTGTGCCATCTCAAGCTGAGCCAAGCGATCCGAAACCCATCGTTCCGATTTCACTTCCTCGGTACTTCGCGACTCACGACTACGAACCTCACGATGCAACGTTCTCTCCTTTTCTCGGCGCGCCGGCGCGGCCCAGCGACGGGCATGCGATTCTTCTCTGCCAGCGCGTCTCGGCCAGCCATCAACAAGATCGTCTCCTCCGCACAAGAAGCTATCAAGGACATGAAGTCCGATTCCACAGTTCTGGTCGGTGGATTCGGCTTCTCTGGAGTCCCCAACACCCTCATCAACGCTCTACGCGACCGAAGCGACCTTACAAACTTCACAGTGGTCAGCAACAACGCCGGTATGCCAGGTGTCGGGCTTGGACAGCTTCTGGAGACGAAGCAGATCGGCACGATGATTGCGAGTTACATCGGAGACAACAAGGTGTTTGAGCAAATGTACCTGAAGGGTCAATTGAGTCTGCAGTTGACCCCTCAGGGGACCATCGCAGAGAAGTGCGCTGCTGGTGCTGCGGGTGTACCGGCTTTCTACACACCAGCAGCTTATGGAACAATAGGTATGCGATCTACACTTTGGGATGAAAAGGGCAAGACACAGCTAACACCCTCCAGTGCAAACCGGCGAACTCCCTGTACGATACAACACCGACGGCACCATTGCGAAGATGGCCCCTCCCAAAGAAACCCGCGAGTTCAACGGCAAATCCTACGTCATGGAAGAAGCCATCTTCGGTGACTACGCCTTCGTCAAAGTCGCCAAAGCCGATCGTCTCGGCAACTGCCAGTTCCGCAAAGCACAGAACAACTTCAACGAAGCCATGGGCAAGAACGCGAAGATGACGATTGTCGAGGCCGATGAGATTGTTGAGGATGGAGAGATCGCACCAGAAGACATTCATCTCCAGGGCATATACGTCAAGAGGGTGATCAAGAGCACAGTGGGCAAGGAGATCGAGCGGAAGGTCTTCTGGAAGAGCCCCGAGGAGCAGAAGAAGGCACTGCTGGAGGGTGGTAAGTCCATACGGACAATGACCCGAGAGAGCGTGGCTAATAAAGTACTAGGCTCGACCGAGTCGTCGCAAAAGCGCGAGCGCATCATCAAGCGCGCAGCACAAGAATTGAAGGATGGCATGTATGTCAACCTCGGCATTGGCATGCCGCTGGCAGCACCTGCCTTCCTACCCGAGGGCACCGAGATCGTTTTGGAGTCTGAGAACGGAATTCTGGGTATGGGACGGTATCCCAAGCCTGGGGAGGAGGTAAGAATGCGATAACAGAGGGGTGTTGACAGTGTGACTAATGAGCTCAGGACCCCGATCTCATCAACGCCGGAAAAGAGACCGTTACTCTGATTAAGGGCGCATCAACATTTGGCAGCCACGAGTCTTTCGGCATGATCCGATCAGGCCGGATAGACGTCGCCATGCTGGGTGCCATGCAAGTGAACCAATACGGAGGTTCGTTCCATACTGTTATCATGCATGCCTTTCGTCCCACTAACTATTTCTAGACCTCGCAAACTTCATGCTTCCCGGAAAGGTCAAAGGCATCGGCGGTGCCATGGACCTAGTCGCGAACCCCACACAGACCAAAGTCGTCATCACCATGGAACACGTCGACAAGAAGGGCAACCCCAAGATCCTAAACCAATGCACATTCCCTCTCACAGGACAAAAGTGCGTGAGCACTATCATCACAGACCTGGCAGTATTCGACTGCGATCGCGTCGAAGGTTTGACCCTGAAGGAGCATGCCAAGGGAGTTACCGTGGACGAGATCAGAAGCAAGACGGAGGCGCCGTTCAAAGTCAGTGAGAATCTGAGGGAGATGAGCGTGTAGGAGAGATGAACAAGAAAGATACCAAAGAAGAAATACCAACACTGAGCGCGCAAGCAAACAATCTCTACCCTATGATTTGAAGGTTCGGCTAATCAAAACCTATCTACTACCACCTTCCACAGCATCCAAAAACACATACGCCGGCGCCGGCATATCCTCACTAATATCACCCCAAGCACTCCAATGTTTCCAGACCAAATTCTTCTGCTCAATCTCATCCGCAATCGCAATCGCCATATCCGCGACACTAATCCCCGTCAACCTCCCCTCAAACACATCTTTACCTTCCTGCTGCTCCCCCAGCAACACCATATCATCAACACTAATCTCATACTTGCCCGTCCTCTTCCCCGGACGGTACAAAGCAGACGGCGAAACAAAACTCCAATCAAAGTTCTTCCGGTCTTCGAAAAACATGTACGCCGTTCGCCCCGCTTTAATAAAGTCCGATGCGTTGTCTTTTGCGCGGATTTGTTTCTCGTAGTCTGCTATTACGGTTTTGTCTTCTTCCGTGGTCGTTCCCGAGCTCTCTGCTAATCTGGCTTCGCGGTATCGTCGCAGTGAGGTGCCCATGATACCGAGGCGCTCTTCCATGTATGCAATGTGCGCTAGTGATGTGGAGATGGCGCGGCGGTAGGCGAGGAAGAAGTCTGGGTGGTCGACGCAGGAGACGTTAGTGCCAGGGACGTGGAGGGAGCCTGCGCCGCCGACGAAGACGAAGTACGATGCGGGTCGTAGCTTGTAGGCGAGCAGGATCTTGCGGACGGATTCTAGGAACGGCACTGTTTTGGATCAGTCATTGGATACCGGTATCCCGAACCGGGCGGGACATACTGTACAGCAAAGCCCCTGGACCGGCTGTATGCGGTCCAAACTCGCTGACCAAGACATCGAGGCCTTTAAAAACTTCTGATAGTTCCTCTATCGAGACTTGATCGACATCTACTGGCCTGGGAATGTAGCGCGGATGCTTTCCTACTTTCTCAGGGTTGCGTGATATACCAACGACGGTATGGCCGCGGTTTAGCAACTCGACGGTCAGATAGGAACCGCCAAAACCTGCAGGGCCGATAACACCTATCCGGAGGGGCTTTGGTGACATGGTGGTATAGAACAACGATGAAGGTATTTGTGATTGCGCTCAAATTTGGCACTTGAGTGTGAAGCAGGTGGGTACATGTCGCGTCGCGTTCACATGACTACCATGCTATGTTGTCAAATGCAAGGTTACGCGTGTTCAATGGCAACGATTTCGGAGTGGTACGCCGAGGTTGTTGTATTGGGGAAAGGCAATTGGGGAAGTGAGGGGACGATGTGGGGCTTGAGTAAACACCAAGGGGCGAATGACGCTAGCCGATCCAGCGAGTACATGGAGAGGAACATGATGAGTGTTGTAAAATGAGGCATCCTGAAGGGGAAACAGTATCAGAAAGTTGAATCTACTACTGTCACAAGATAGGGTATCATTTGGAAATATGACGTCGGCAGATAACTACGCATTCATCGGTGAGCATTCTTAGCCAGCACCTTAGTAGGCATTACTAACAATGACAAGGTCTCGGAGCAATGGGCTACGCAATGGCAGCCAACATCCGCAAGAAGATAGACCCATCTTCGACCCTCTACATCAACGACATCAACGCCTCGGCGTGCTCCCGCTTCAAAGCCCAATACTCGTCCCACGGCCCCATAGAAATCGTCGCTACAGCACGCGAAGCAGCAGAAGATGCCAAAGTACTAATCTCCATCGTACCAGGAGGAGAAGATGTAAGGAAAGTGTATCTACATGAGAAAGACGGAGTGATTGCAGCGAAGAAAGACCAAGACAGAGTAATGCTGGAATGCAGCACAATTGACGTGAACACTACGAAAGAAGTAGGCCGAAAGCTGAAGAAAGCGGAAATGGGAACATATATCGACGCCCCCGTATCCGGCGGCGTCCCAGCAGCAGAAGCAGGCACCCTATCGATGCTGATCGGCCACCCACCGCCAGCGCAAACACCAACATCCTCAGCTTCTCCAGACTCTCGAATCACGACGACCCTCACGATGCTTGGCCCACCATCCAAAGCCTTCTACCTGAACACCCTCGGCGCCGGTCTCACCGCCAAGATATGCAACAACTACCTCTCCGGCACCATTCTCCTGGCTACCGCCGAAGCCCTCGCAATAGGCGTATCTCACGGCCTCGACCCCTCCGCTTTATACTCCGTGATCAAGAACAGCACTGGTCAGTCTTGGATGTGCGATCATGTTATGCCCATTCCCAATGTGCAGAAAGAGTATTGGGTACCGAGTAACAGTGGGTATAAACCGGGGTTCAAGACGCAGATGATGCTGAAGGATCTAGGATTGGGTATCGAGAGTGCGGGTCAGGTTGGGGTGAGGCCTAGTATGGCGGAGAGGGCGTTGGAGGTTTGGGAAGAGGCGGCGAAGGACGAGAGGTGTGTGGATAGGGATGGTAGTAGTATATATTTGCATGTTGGAGGTCTTCTACCGAAGGGATACGAAGACAAAGGGAGGAAGAATGAGGATGAAACGTGGGAGTTTGCGGAGTAAGGCTTCTGTCATCTTTAATATACATAGTGGTGTTGCGAATCTTTCCTGATGCACTCATGTAGTCTTCATACCGTCTACTTTCCTTGGAAGAAGTTCTGGAAGACCTCCATAACGGCATCAAATCCAGCCGTCTCTCCCAGCTTGAGTACCCTCTCATCTCTTCCAATTTTTGTTGGATCACCATCTGGAACCCATCTGCTCGTGACACCATCGGCACTAGGCCCATAGACCTTGGCACACAACTTGTCGGTCTTTACAGGCGGCCAAGGATCCTCCCCGTTGACGAATTTGATGAAGTCTTCCCCGTACTCTCGTGCTACCTTCTGCTGCGCATCGTCCAGGTGCTCGTTGTAGTTCTGGAAGAGGTACGATACATCGAGAATGTGGCCTGCTTCGCCCTTGAAGCGACCTTCCCAAGGTATTCCTTCGTTGAAGTGGTAGAGGAAGAACTTCGAGTCGGGTGTGTTGGGCCAGCCTTGGGCAAAGGCACGAGCGGGCGCGTAGAAAGATATCTCGGAACCAAAGCGCAATATTGATAGCATAGCCTCTTCGTCCGGAGTCTCGGGGGTTATCTTGTAGGATGTGAGCAGCTGTTCCGCAACCTCTGGCTTGGTGGACAGTGTGGCGTTGCAGGAGTCGATGAACTTTTGCGCGACGCCTGGCTTGCGAGCATCGAGGCCAAGGTATGCAATGATGTTCGCCTAAAAAGATGAGCCCACATATTTCGAGATTCACGATATGGAACTTACGTCCAGCTTTGACTCTCCGATCATAAAGGCCTTGCACCACTTCCTACCCGGCATCATGAAAGCTGGGCTGTCTTCTTGAGATGAGACGGTAAGGAAATCTGGTGAGCCCGGCATGGTATCTTTGTCGACTGAAGGCAGCATCGGTGCTGTGGGTGGCACCTTCTGCCATAGATCATCCAAGGGTATACTGAGTAGGGCCTTGATACGATCCTCAGGCGACTTGTCCGTCAGGCCAAAAGCTTCGATGGCTTTTTGATACGAGGACTCTGCAACAAAATCTGGGATGGGCTTGAACAGTAGCACAGCTCCTCCAGTACTAAGACAGCGCTTCATCAGCGGCTCCTCCGAGCAGAGCAATACTGTTGCAGACACTGCGTATGTTAGTCGAGCTCTAGTTCAACAGCGTCCAAAACATACGTCCACCGGCGCTCTCTCCGCATACTGTGATCTCATCTGCATCACCTCCGAATCCGCCTATGAACTTCCTGATCCACTGTAGAGCCGTGCGCTGGTCGCGAAAGCCGTTGTTCGCTTTGTATCCTGCTTTGCGCAATTCTTCGGAATTCGCAAACCCTGTGAAACCCAGTCGATAGCTGTATCTGTTAGTAGACGAGGCGTGTTTCAGGTTGTAAGACCCACTTGATGGTAATGCCGATGATGGGCTTTTTCCTCTCGACAGACATCTTCACAATGGGAGCTGGATCATAGTGCGGGTACCAGCTACTCCCAACAGCAAAGCCGCCCCCATGTATGAAGACAAAGACAGGCAACTTCGCGTTGGAATCAATAGCCCCATCCTTGTTGGTCGGCACAGTGATGTTGAGGTTCAGACATTCGAGGTCGGAATGCGTCGGAACCTCTGGGAGTGGCAGGGAGTGCTGAATGAAGCCGAATTCGCGTTCAATGGCACCGACTGGAGATACTGGAGGAGGACTGGTACATTAGTATATGGTGATTGGCGCCACCAATTGACGTACCCAAATTTCGTGGCATCCGTAGTTCCAGATCCATAGCTATCAACGAGCTGGGGTGCAGCCAAGCGATCTTTTAACGAAGCATACTGCAAGCCAAGGAATTGGACTGCGCCATCTACTGGCTTTCCTTCTATTTCACCTAGGTGTTGGTGCTTGAGGGTTTCCGACATGTTGGCTGCTGCGTGGGATGGGATGGTAGGAAGCAAAGGACCGTTCCATAGACTAACGGATTGTTTACTATTGCCTAGTGTCTGCTTGGATTAGCTGAAAGAAGTTGCGCATCCCTGGAGCTGCTTCTCTGGAAGCAGGTACGTTGGGGGCAATGATGGTCCGACAATTACCCCGCACCTGTACCTGCCATTTCAGTAGTGGGGCAATCACCCGCGACCAAACATCGCGTGCGGGATGTGGGGGTACTACAGCGACTGTGCCTCGCATCGATGAGGATATCGTAATTCGCTCGATATCTGAGCTCGGCAATTAGCAAGCATGTGTTCGGCTAGATAGGGTGCTACCTATGTAGATGTACACGTTACACGTAGCCAGTATCTTGCACAGATGACACCAACAATGGAGGCCAGCCTCCCTCATACTGACGCCTTTGTCAGTCTTGCTCTCCTCGATGGCGGTAGCTTTCTAGGAGATCTGAGCCGCTTGCATGCTGGTGAGAGCGGCACATTTCGCATGTACAACTGGGCGTTTTACATCTCGCACCAGGGAAGACACACACTTTGGGATCTTGGGTTGGATGAGGTGCGTAGGCCAATATCGGGTTTGGCTATCTCAATCTTCTTCTGACTAGTTTCTTGAAGGACCGAAGTTGTTATACCCCTTGGGTCAACAAGTTCATGTTGGATATCGTCAATCACGTCGGACCAAGGAGAACTATCGTTCAGCAGTTGGCGCAAAGAGGCGTGGCTGCGGAAGATGTCGATACTGTCTTGTTCAGGTATGGACACAAGGGTGGCGTGAATGAAGTTCGCTGAGCAGCCTGCAGCCACGCTCATTGGGATCATTCGAGGCCTATCAGCGATTTATTTCCAAATGCGATGGCGTACTTTGGTCCCGGAACGAGAGCAGCATGTCAGCCAGGGCATATGAGAGATCCAAGCCTACAGTGGGACGGCCGCTTCTTTGATCCGGAGAACTCGACAGAAAAATGGGATGAGCTACATGGCGTATGGAAGCCCTTTGGCCCGTTCGAAAGAGCACTGGACTACTTCGGAGACGGCAGTTTCTGGATCCTCGATGCACCTGGCCATATGCCTGGTAACTTGGCTGCTGCCGCAAGACTGCAAGATGGCGAGTGGGTAATACTTGGCAGCGATTGTATGTTGTCCTAGGAAATTTCCATTGGCACTCGCTAATCTTGTGCTAGGCTGCCATTCGCGGTACGTTAAATTGATTGCACCAGGCGTTTGCTGACGTGCATGGTGTATACGATCGGGCGTTTACTGACCGGTCAGGGATTTGCTGGACGGCACGCGAACTATTGCGGAGTTCCAAGGCCCAGGGGCAGTGAGCATGTCACTGCATACAGACCTTTCTTCAGCGAAAGAAACAATCGCTAAGATAGGACTGCTTGAAACAAAGTTTGGTGCTCATACAGCGCTCGCACACGATGCTAGCTGGCTGAAGAAGGGCACGGACCAGGTACTCATGTCACTGCTGGACGACGAGATGCGAGTTGCAGCCCAGGAAAAGATACCGTATGATGAGATACCGTAGATGGAGTTTGAGACACGAATCAGATTTAGTAACCGAATGTTGGAGGCCTGACGATCAGTAAACGCGTCGGTGGGTTCGCTACGCGTTTTTTCGTGGCGCGATAGCTGTCAGGTTGGACGCACGAATGTGGAATGCGTCAACGTTGTCTTGCTAGATGTCGATAAAGCAACAAGCCAGACGTGAATTGTTTCGAGGTCGCTTAGAGAAGTAAATGCAGACGTCCATTTTGCTGGGCGATGCTCGCGCATAGTCTATTCCAAGGTTTTGAGTTGCTGTCTCACCCTAGCCAGCACGCTAAAGACGCGCCTACTTGAACACCAACATCATGACGTCTCGCGTCGCAGGGTGCTGTAGCGCCCACACTACAGACAACGCCCCGCCAGTCTTACAAGATATACCGCAACCTAGGAGCCTAAAGCGCGTGGGAGGCAATGGCAATGGAGGAGATGAAAGAGATGTTCAATAGAGAACACGTGTGACGGGAGTGGCCATGGCTCAAGCAAGCAACGCCATCTTGTCACACATTGAAGTCCATCTCCAACATCGCAATCCTCTGACGATACGGGGTCGATGCTTCCACGGCCGCAATTTACAAACCTGCGCCTTTCCAACACACGCTAGAGATATCCCACCACCAAGCGCCACAGGATCGCCTAGTGCTGATTTACTCCACTCAAGTGCCAAGATGCCACGATCGGGGGGCCTGGATCAGCACAACCTCATATACCTAGGTACTTCAATCCTCCACACCTAGCAGACCTTACACTTTAGCCCTTCACAATGGCTCTTCGTGACCTACCATGGGTGACGATACTCTTCTCTGGCGTCATTGCGGCGCTCGCATATGGCGTAATGAGATTGATCCAAGTTCGGCGTTTTTACAAAGATGTTGTACGTTAGCAGTATCCGAGACAGGCTATAATCAAGACAGCACTGACAGTAGATCAGCCCAAACCGCCTCATAGCTTCTTCTTCGGCCATTTGAAACTGCTCGGCGAGACCTTCAAATCGCTACCCAGTGATTGCCATTATCAGGCAGCGGTGGTTACGATCGCCAGGAAGTACAACATGCCAGGTGTCTTCTATCTCGATTTGTGGCCTGCCTCATTTCAGCAAGTTGTGGTGACAGATCCGGATGTTGCACTTGACATGACAGTCATCCGGAATCACCCCAAACATGAAATGGAGGCAACTATGGTCGACCCCTTGATTGGAAGCGGCAACATCGTCACAACAAACGGCGCAAAATGGAAGTATCTCCATAAAATGTTGAGCCCTGCTTTCGCCACTTCGCACATCACCAACATGAGGCCGATGGTTGCTGAGGAGGTTATGAAATTTCGGTCGATTCTTTCCGAGAAAGCTGAATCGGGTGAGGTTTTCAGGTTGGAGGACCATACCCTGTGCATGACGTTTGATGTCATATCGACTATGACCTTTGGCCGATCCCTTGACGCGCAGACCAAAGGTAGCCCTGCTCTGCAGCACTTTGAAAGCATGTGCCGTGCTTTTATGACCACGCGAGAGTCTCTGAACTACATCCGCAACTTTCTCGTCAACCGGACGGTTTTCGCTGAACGCGCAAAGTTTGATGCTATTGTGGAAGGGCTCATCAACGAGAGATTCGAGATAGTCAAACGTAAGAAGCTCAATGGAGTCCCTGCATACTTGAACTTCGTGCGGCTAACACATAGCTGCAGGCGACAAGCTCGATCTCTCGGAGAAGCGAGGACTAGGGATAATGGACCTCATCTTGCGAGACTATATTGCAGAGCGACAGGGTGACGTAAAAGAGCTCGACCCCCAATTCACCAAAGATGCTCTCACACAAGTAAAGACTCTTTTGATCGCTGGACTTGGAACTACGTCGGATACCATCTGTTTCGGAGCTATGCTGCTTAGCGTTCACCCTGAAGTGGTACAAAGGATGCGCGAAGAGCACGACCGTGTTTTCACCCCTGGTATCGAAGCGACGTACGAGATGCTTAAAAAGGAGCCGTATAAGCTGAATGAGCTCACCTATACGAACAACGTCATCAAGGAAGTCCTGAGATTCTATCCGATAGGAAATACCGCACGCAAGGGCATCGATACTCTCACGTATCAGGGTCGCGAATGGCCGACCAAAGGTCGCATGATCTGCCCCGTCCAACTGGCTATGCATATGGATCCAGCGATATTCCCAGGCAAGTGACATCCATCGATCCTTCTTTGTAACACACATCCGGTGGCTAATGCTTCGTCCAGATCCGCTCAAGTTCGACCCAGATCGGTTTACACGAGAAGACCACCCGCGGCACGCCTGGCGTCCGTTCGAGAGAGGACCGCGTGCGTGTCTGGGCCAACCGCTGGCTATGGACGAGTTCGTGATCGTATTCCTGCTGACAATACGCGATTTCGACTTTACTTGCGCGGATCTGAAACCCAACAAGACGCCTCGAGCAGAGTGGAATGATCTGGATCTGACATTCGGTGATCGCGCCTACCAGGAATTTGTTTTCGAGGCCAAACCACGAGATGGCATGCCGATGACCGTTAAGAGGTCCAACTGGCCAAAGTAAGCGCGGCAACGGCTGCCAATTCGGGTCAATAGACGACATCAGTGGCGGTCGCTAGTATGGACTATCCCAGGGCTCCTGCTCCGCAACGCATGTGTGTATGTATTGACTCGGGAGGGGCGGATGGCGGATTGGGGTCGACGTGTCATGGGAAATTAGGAAATGTGCCATGGCTGTCATACGGTCAAGTCTTATTGCCTGATGCACGTTGACAAACTGCCGCGCGACACTGACGGAACCTGGGGTAGTTAACTTCCAAGGTTGGAAGCATGGCTGTTGAGGCATAAGCAAATACCATCAAGGTTCCATCCCGTCTTCCGTCAGCCCACATTGGCGCATCCCTTGCGGATGCTCGGCTGATGCTTATGCGAGACCATCCTGCAATTCCAGTATTTCACCGACGTCTTGTGCGTGTAGTTGCCGTGCCTTGAACTTACCGCTTCTCGGGTGTGGTGCTTACAGTCGTAGATTTACATTCAGCCTGAATGCATAGCCAGGCGCAGCCAATCGGAGGGCGGGGAGATCCACTTAGCGCGAACCCCTCACAGATTTTGCAAGTACCATGGGGCTCCGCATGCGGCTCGGGTACAATCTTGGCTGCCGTATGCCTCTGGGCCAAGCATCGGGAGTGGCTTCGGACACAAGACTGGCTCGGCGCTCGGAAATAAGTGGACTGAAGACCGCTGCTCAACCGCGTGGCCGACGAGACCATGACGTACAGGAATCGTGGGCTGTGGTGTTTACCAACCGCGTGCTGACGCAGGGTCGGTGACTACGGCTATTTACTGTGCTATAAGACATGGAGTGAGGACGACGACGAGCTGCATCCGGACCATCCGAACCAAACCAGACAACCGGCGTCATGTTCACCTCGACGCGTGCGC